CCACATTAAAAAAAAAAAAAAAAAAAATTAAACCCAGGCATATCATATTCAAATTTTAGAAAATCAAAGATATTTAAGTGACACTCAGTAAATGTTGTTTCAAAGCATTTATTCAGTGTCAGTAAAGACAGGTACTTAATTCTCTCAGGGATAAGGAGGTGGTCCAAAGTGGTATTTTTTCAGTTGGGGCTTTGAAAAGATTAGAAAAAGGAAATAAGTCATTCTCTGTAGAAAGAACAAGGCTTTGCCTACTTCACCTTGCTCTCATACCGTTCTCCCCTGTTATCAGAGGGGATATTTTTAGTTGCAAATAATGGAAAATTAAACTGGCCCTATGGAAACTGGCTTAAATAATAATGCGGATTTACTGGCTCACATAACTGAAAAGTCTAGAGGCAGGGCAAGTGCAGGGTTGATCCATTCAGGAACTCAAAAGTGTCATCAAAGAACAGGTTTCTTTATATCACAGCAATTTGGCATCCACATTTCAAGTTCCTCCTTTTTAGCTTCTCATGATCGTAGGATGACTGCCAGCCCCAGTAGGAGTTACATTCTTCCTGGTTTATAACCACTGGGTAAGGTCATTTATCCACTCCTGAGCCAAAGACTGTGGCTAGAGTAATGAAATATGTTTATGGCCTTGTGCCAATTTAGGGCTCCTCTCTAAAGCTGGAGGCATCAAAACAAAACTCTGGATAAGTTTAGGAAGGAGAAAGGGGATATTGATGCTCAGTAAGCTACCAATAAATATCCAATGCACTCCTTCACTCAAAATGCTCCAGCCATACCAGACTTTTTCTTGTTCCTCATATATATTAAACTCTTTCCTGTCTCAAGGCTTTTGCTGTTCCCTTGCCTGAAACATCATCCTCTTCCCTCCCCCACCACTTTACCCCCAATGTAATGAAGTCACCTATGATAATGTCATCACATCCTCTACTTTTTCTTCATATCACTTATAACAGTTTTAACTTATTTGATCTGTGTGACGGTTTTATATGTAACTCCTCCATTGGACTATAACTCAAAAAAGCAGAAACATGTTTCATTTTCTTCATACCTGTACCCTAAGTGCCATATAGTACCTGGCACACAGAGGCACTCAAAAGTTGAATGAATGAATGAATGGTGCTAATGAGATTAACATATAGTGAATGCTTATTGGTTATTCATATCACCATAAAAATGCATGCCACTGGTCACAAGTCAAAGAAACAATATTTTGAATGGGTTAGAACAAATTCATTCATTGCATTTATTGAAATCATAACTCAAAGTTTATAAATCTGTATTTAAAACATTTCATTTATCTTTATACAAAAAAAACCCACCCAACTTTTCTGGTATTATTTCATAAAACTAGTTTTATATAATACAATAAACTATATCAATCATACCTTCTTTAAACTGCGTATTTCAGATTCTTGTTTTTTATTTAAAGCTGAAAGTCTTTTGTTTAACTGTATTGCTTCTTGTACTGTAACATGAAAGACACTTAGGAAAACATTATATTCATTGTACATTTTAAGGAAATATTACTAACATGGACAAGGAAAATAGCCTCAATGCAATATATATAATTATTACTGAATTTAATAATATTAATTAAACTGCCATTTACTATTACCAGTATCAGATAAGTTCAATTTCTTCATTATAAATAAGTCTATTTAAACATTTCCTCTTAAATATGTTAAGTTTAAATGCGATAGCACCTACCATTTTGCTCTAACTTTTCATGATTCTCTTTTACTAATCCAAATTGACCTGTTATTGTAGCATAGTATTTCTCAATTTCATTCAGTTGCTTCTGATGATCTTCTTTAGCCAGAAAATGTAACTGGACTTTTTGTTCCTATTTTGAAGAGTTATTTTAAATGTTATACATATATAACACATACATACATATATATATATACACACATATTTATTAAACATACATAACAATTTATTGTTTTTAATAACTGTTGTTATTAACATAAGTATGTCATGAAAAAGTACTCTCTGAGTACACCTTAGGGAGGAAATATTAGTTAGGTTCTAAATCTAGATAAAATTAAAGCATTTTTTTTTTCCTGTAACAAAATAGTCACTTAAGGTTATATTTTCCTTGTTTACAATTCCTTTTTCAAAATCAATTGGTTGTTTTATTTACCGAAAAGTTAATTAGTCCAGTACAGCACTAAGCAAAGTGAGGGGAATATTATTAAAGCAATACTCCTGATAATTTAGGAAATAATTTTTTTTCTCTAAATACTGGCATAATCATAATGTACATTATCAAAACTCAGATAAATTTTCTGAGATTAATATTAATGAATATAGCACCTTCTCACTGTATTAAAAACTGGAACAATGAGAACAATATCTATCAGTGATAGGGAGACAATATAGTATAGCAGAAACTACTTAAGCTAGGAGACACAGTTGGTAAAAATTGGACCTTATATATAATATAATATGGGCCTTCACTGCTTTCAGCTAAAGGAGCTTGTTTTACCATACTTAGAAAAATGACTTAAAATTTTTTAAAGAAATATTATGTTAACAGAATCAATAACACTCTTCAAAAGTTTTTATTTTGGCATTAGCAGAATCGTTGATTTCACAACTTTCATTCATTTCTGCCACACACGTCAATTTCTACTGAGAGAGGATGAACAAAGAACAGTGAACTCCCATCAATAGGCACTCAGTAATTACTTTCTGAATGAACTGTTGTCTCATAGAGTTCTGACAGTGGCAATTTGTTACATTTGCCTGGACAGCATCTATTTCTCTTACCCAAAAGTAACACATTTTCAAGTATTTCCTTGAAATACTTCTTCACTGCAATCTAAATTCAACCAAATTCAGGGGTCCTATTCTCCCCTAGTCAAGTATAGGGCATATTACTCCAAATAAACCAATTGATTTCTACATTCTTGGAATTTGAATCTTGAGCAAAAGAGACTTATAAAGCTAAAGAACTTCAGTGGTGATCCTATCCAGACTGATATGAGACCTCCTCTGTCCTGGGTTCCTACATCCTGCTTCTCAAACCCTGGAATTAACCTAGTCCCTGTTCATTTTCAAAACCATTCTTGACTCTCTGATTGATTGCAAGTGTCTCCACTAAATTTCCTTTTGCATAAGTTAACCAGAGCCATTTTGTACTGCTTAACACCAAAGTACAGGCAGTATTGTAGAGTGGTCAAAAGCTATTCTGCCTATGTTTAAATCTTGCCTCTGTAATTTAGTTGCTGTGTGACCTCAGGAAAATTATCTACCCTGTCTTTAAAATAGAGATTATACCAGTATCTCCCTCATAGGGTTGTTGTGAAGATAAGACAAATTAATGCCTACAGAGCACTAAGAACAGAGCCTATCACATACCAAGTACAATATAATGTTTTGTTATTACTATTCCTTAAATGATAAAAGCGCCTTCAATAGCCTAATTTTTATTCGGACTAAGAATAGCCCTCTCTAATATTAATAAGGAACACACATCATAATTTAAGTTGTACCTAACTATATTAACTTGGCAAATCTGGTGAAAATCTTAACTTTTTCAAAGATTTTTTTAAACAATTTTAAGCGAAGTGATAAGTACACTGGCAACGGTTATGAAAGATGAGTTAAATTTTTCTCATGCACTTCTATGGGCTTTTCAAATTCACTACTTAGTCATTTGAATTAAGCATGCATCAGTTATAAATTCAAACAAGTTGACAAGTGCACTTACCCCTGAGATCTTATGCTTACCTGGGTAGTCACTATTATCAATAACTAAACAATGAACAATAATGACCCGTATTCTGTTTCTCTCAAATACCACTTAATTCTCTGGAGAATTATACTCCTTTCAGGAGATGTGTAGAAACCCAATACAATTTCACTAAAAATTGGTCTAAAGACATTTTTTTCAGTTCAAGGAATTCTTTCAATTTTTCAAGTCAAATCAATTTTTAGATAGCCTTTAATGAGAATAGCATCTACTACATATTAATACACATTAATACTGTCAATGTCTGCAAAGGTTAACTAATCCCGGTAAGTAAAAATGCAGCAAAGATCAAAGTGAGTTCATATGTATTCTCTACATACATAGAGCTCTGTACATATTAGATTAGTTTGTAACATACTCTATCCCAACATCCTTTGCTTGAAGCCAAAGTTGAATTAAAATGCAGTTTCATTTGTTTGCATGATACAATTCTGATTTTCAAATACATTAGTCTATACAATGGCCATGATAAATGCTATAAAGACGTTTAAATCACAATGGGCACCTACAGCTCATTAGCTCATACAGGCCTATATGCGACTGTTCACATATAAACCTACTTGGCTGCCCTGATTTAGTTTTGATAATGAGATGAAGAGGGCAGCTTGCCACTAACTGCATGACTGTCAGCAAATAGTTTAAATTCTTTGGGAAGCAACAACAAAAAGCAGATTGGTAACACCTGCCTGAGAAAGCTAAGAACATTATAAAGAATAATACAACTAAATTGATGGTGTTATTATAACTTTAACATTACATACTATAGCATAATAAAGATTATTTTATTGCAATGACTAAGAAATGGCTAAGTATGTAGTGTTTTTGTTCTTTTTACCTCTCTGAATTGGGACAAGTTATTTTCTCTTTCATACATTTTTACTACTAAATGCAAAGACTGTCAACAAAATAATACCAGGATTGCCTGCTTTCCAAATACATATGTACCTCATTTTAAACAATTTCAATCTTTGAAAATCAAGATTAGAGAAAGACAGCACATGCATAATTACAAGTGTGTGTGGTCTAAAAGTTTACTTAAAAGCCTCTTAAGGCATTTAAAATAGGAATAATTTAAAAATAACATTTACACCCAACTTTTTAGAACTATGCTTACTAATAAAAGCCATAGCTGCTCATTTCCCTCATTTCTTATTTCCTTATAGAGACTGATTTGAAAACTTCTGGAGATAAAATTAATTTCCCTTAAAACAATTAGTTTGTTATAAGTAAATTGTAGAGAAAAAGATTCAAAACCCCCAAACAAACTGCATATATTCCTCATTTCTATTTTTGCAACTTACCTTTTAATTTCTTCAATATAAACCCAAAATAAATCAATGGATTATAAAACTCACTTTTTAAAAACCCATGGCATCTTTCTTAGGATATTGATACTTTCACCTTTTTAGTCACAACATTAGGTATATACTACTTAAAAAAACTAAAGTTACATATTTTATGTGTACAGATGTATATAATTATTATAATCATGAAGATTACTTCCAGACAAGTCTTTAGTCTAAAAATATTCTACTCTGAAAGAAAATATGTGGTAAATCCAAATCTCATCAAAACCTTCAATACTGAAAAATTGTTTTAATTCAATAAAGACAAAATAAATTCTTCTTGTAAGTCTTTTCTTTAAAGGAAAGTGATATACAAAAAAGAAACTATAACTAAGAGATGGTTGGATAAATTTTTATTTTGTTCGTTAAGCTCTATTGGCAACTCAGTTACACAACATAGTCACCTATACAGTAATTATGGGAACAAAGCAGGAAAGATTTCCATCAATGACCAAATCAATTAATTTGATGTTCTATAGCTTATTTTTATCATATTTAGTTGCATTTGTTTTATTGGTAATGATCAATGTGATCATTTGTTCAAGAGAAGATCTTGGTACTTTTAGAGATAGATGAATCTTTCCATTCATAATTGTGTTAATTTATCTAGAGACATACCACCTCTACATGAAAATCACCTTACTGAATCCCCACAAGACAGAAATTTATTAGTAGTTAAGAGCTTGCCTATAGGAAATCATGAACTTGTTTAAAAGTGTCTTAATACTATTTTTAAAATTATTTCTTTTGGGACACTTATCAATTGCTCCCCAAAGTCCTGCCTTGGCACAAGTGACCATCTTGTTTCATGTCTTGCACATAGTCAAATAATATCAATATAAAAGGATAATGTGCTGATTTGAATAGAATTAACTGGATTACTGAATACTGTTTAGTACTTTGAATAAAGAAAAGGTCACCTGAATTATATAAGAATAATGTAAAACGAATAATGTAAGAATGTTTAGAAAAAGGTTTATTTTTAACTTTTAAATCCATCATCTAAAATATACATAATATTCTGCCAAAATTGGTATGAAATATTGTATATCTATCAATATATAAAATTATTTTAATGTAAAGTGATTTATTTAATGCTTTGAACTGTCAGAAAAAATATAACTATAATTCAAATTTTAGTAGGTTCTTAAGAGTCTTAAATTCACATTAACAAAATGTTCAAAAGTGACCAGAAACTATCAAAAGTATATTGCATGTTTCCATGTTTTTTTAAGATTATAAGTATCTGTTTGATGAAATTTTAAAGTGGAATAAAATAAAACACATTTTATGTTGCCTTTGATCTTTTAACTTGTAGCCTTATCTCCCAGGTCAGAGGGTACATAATTCAATTTCACTATATTTTGTGTAAAACCACTGCAGCGTTGAAGATGACTTTCAGTACAAATGTCATGGTACTTAAAGCTAAACCAGAATCTAGTTTTTCAGCTCCTTAATTAAAATCATAGTTTAAAATAGTCTGACAATATTATCTGTAGTGTTTCCAGTTGAACAGTGACAGAATTTTCACATCTTTTATTCAATCAAGCTTAGCAATCTTTCTATGGCTCTTTTATTTTCTAACACACCAAAACATTTCAAGAAGCAAAATACTTATTTTATATTTTTGTATTTAACGTCATAAGGAATGATCTCTCATTTCTTACTTCTCATAGATATAATACATAAACTTTACTCAAAAATTATTTTTACTTGCCTTACAGTCTGCTCCAAAGAAGGAAGAACGAAATAGCATAAACCCACCCAAGAAGCCCTCTGAAGATTAAGTGGATATGGGAGAATTTTGCTCAATCAAAAATACAGAGAAAAAAATTCTTCTGAATCAAACAGGGATAGAAAGATAGAATATCAAAGCAAATATTTCATAAAATGTTATGCTGTAAAAATGTAAATATTAATTTTAATATACTACAGAAGAGGAATGCACAACAAATTAACACTTGTTGAATGATAAAGGATGAGTACCATATCCCAAGTGTAGTATTCAAATGCTACTTCATATTATTTCAATTTTTCAGGCTAAAAGTAATAACTATGTGTTTACACAAATACCTAGAAAAGACATCATTAAAGTAAGGGGTTTCAGAATTCTGTTGTTTTCACTTCTTTGTTGTTCAATTTTCATATAAGACCTCTACCAATAATTTGGGAACTGTGTTAAATTTATTTTATAACATGTAAACACTATCTAGAAATAAATTTGTGAAATAAATGCATTTAAGCTATATCTGAAATTGTAATTCAGTCCTTTAAAGGGGATATTAATATCCAGTTTCAACATTTTTTTTACAATAAATGTCACATTAATATTGACAAAAATACTGTGCACATTATGTACTAATCTGGGGTGGGTGTATATTTTGAAATTTCCTTACCATTTCACTCACTTTCTTCTGTAAAGAATATTTAGAAACCTTGAAAAAAATAAGGGGAAAAAAATCTCATGAAAACTTTTTAGTTATTTGTTATAAATTCCTTCTGATATTAAAATTGTATGTTATATAATGTGATGTGTATCTTATATGCACTTTTTTCCAATGACACTTTTTCAAAATGTTACTTACCATAACTTTATTCCCTATAACAAAAACAATACATTTATTTATTTATTCAACACATATTTATGGAGCACCTACTATATGCCAGCCATTTTCCTAGGATCCTGGGATACAACAATGAACAAAGTCCCTGCCTGTAACAAGCTCTCTGTCTAGTGGGGGTGGTGGTAGACAGACAATTAAATATAAGTAAAAAGTATAGAAGTTACAGAGTGACAACTACTATGAAGAAAAATAAAGCAAGAAGGACAGCAAGAAAACTCTAGGAGAGTCTGCTACTTAATATTAGCTCTTCGTTGAACAAATTTTGATAAAATAGATAAGCATGGGGAAAAACATTGTCTTAAACAAACCATCTCACAACCCAGAAATAACCATCATTAATACCATGGTACTTCCAGATATTTTTCTATGTATTTATACTTTAAAAGAGAGTCAGTAGGGGGTAGAATAATAATACATGTACTATTTTGTAACCTATTTTTATTTAATATATAGCAAACACTTTTATATTACAAATTAATCTACAACACAAGTTTTTAATGGCTACACAGTATTCCACTAACTCTATACCACAGTTTATCAAATCACTCTCATCTTTGTAGATTTACCGAGTTTCCAGTTCTATGAAAGAATTCTGAAATAAACATGTTGTACCAAGAAAACTCTGTAGTTATTCATTTTAGCAGAATAAATTCCAAGAAGCAGGACTCCTTTTGTTCATTTTTATAAACTTAACAATTGTTATTACACACACAGTCCTCCAGAATGGTGGACCAAGTTAAACTCCAACTAGCCATGTATGAGTGCTTATTTACTTAAACTCACCTAATATTTGCTAAAATTTAAGCAAAAGTTCTTAAAATTACTTCACATTTCCTGTGAAATAAATTTTTAGCATACTGCCTTGAACTAATAATTTTATTTCATTTTGGTGGAATGAGTTATATGTGATTCATTTCTTCAACAAATATTGAATGCTTACTAAAAGTAAAGCACTAATGTAGACATTGGGGGTATAGTATTGGACCAAAAAATCCTGTCCAGCTTAAATTCTGGGGAATGTAGATAATTAGCAATATAAATAAGTTAAAATATATAGTTCTATTAGATATTGATAAGTGCTAAGGAAAAATAATAAATCAGGGAAGGGGATTACATAGGATGGCCAGGAAAGTCCTTTCTGAGAGGGCAACTTTTGAGTAAAGACTCAACAGAAAGTAAGGAAGAGTATTCCAGCAAGTGCAAAGCCCCTAAGGTGGGAAAATGTCTTGTGTGTTCAAAGAACAGCAAAGAAGCCAATGTGGCTGGAAGATTTAGTAAGCAAGCGGAAGAACAGCAAAAGATGAGTTCACAGAAGAGTAGGAGAGGAGGTCGGGCCAAATCACTGTAGGTCTTGTAGTACATAATAATGCTTTACTCTGAATGAGACCAGGAAGCCACTGAAGAGACCCAAGCACAAATGTGACAGAACCTGACTTACTCCTTGAAAGGATCACTCTGACTGTTATATTAAAACTGAAGGAGAACAGAAGTGGAAGCAGGAAGAACATTTAATATAACTACTGCAATTGAGATGAAAGAGGATGATGAAAGAGGACTAGAGTGTTAGTAGTAGATGTAGTAGATGTAGTGAGAAGTGGTCAGATTCTGGATATACTCTGAGGGAAAAGCTGAAAAAAATCTGCAACAGGAAGAAGGGAGTTGTAATTAACAAAAACAGAAAAGACAAGTTAGTTAGCTATCAGGGTGAGATTTTAGGAACTTAGTTTTGGACACGTCAAGTTTGAGATGTCTTTTAGACATCCAATAGTCAATCCAGGCTGGAGTTGGGGCTGGAGATATACATTTGGAAGCCCTCTGCATGTAGACCCCATTTTAAAGAAATGAGACTAGATGAGATCAGAGTATTTTTTAAGGCATACAGACAAAAGCAAAGTAAAAAGGTAGAGGTCATCTAGAAAAATAAGAGGAAAAAAAAAAGACTGGCCTTGGGACTCAGACTGGAATTATACCTCCAGCTTTCCAGAATCTCCAGCTTGCAGACAACAGATCATGGCACTTCTCTGTCTCCATAATTGTGTGATTGTGTGAGCCAATTCTTCATAATCAATCAATCAACCTCTTCCTTTCTTTCTCTCTCTATATATACAGGTTCTGTTTCGCTGGTGAATCTTCACTAATACAGCTACCATTAGCCAAAGAAAAAACTGATAAACATAGAGCAAACTTACCAAATTCTTTCAGGTCACTGCTCTTCAAACATTAATATCTCTGCATTTTATTCTTTCTGAACCATGATTCACAGCTCTATTTTATCAACACCTCTAGAGCACTTTCCAACTTAAAAAACTACCATGTAGCTGCATTCCTATGTCAAATAAGTCAAATTTGAAAGTACCATAACTAGATTGACATGAAATCTTTTTAGAGATGTTCTATAAAGTGATTATTCATTCTGAAATCACATAAAACTGTTTTATAATACCAGATACAGGCAGCTTTCTAATACTGGAACAAAACTATACTAACACTAATTAGCATACTAACAACAGAAAGCAATTTGAAAGATAAAGTACAAATGTTTTCCTAGTTATAGCCATCCTTCACTTTTTGGAAAATTCTATGAAAAGTTTACTGTAAAGTACATTTGTTTAGAGCAAATCTATTTTCCCATTAAATTAATGGGATTTATGTTACTTGGGAATAAAGTCCTTTAAGTACTGTGCTAAAAATACTTAACCCCTCACCTTCCTGAACAATTCAGTCCCAAGTTCACTAGGTGGGGAAGAGGTGAAGGGGTAGTGGTGGCAGCATTCCAGAACAGGGTATCAGGCCTGAATGGGGAGTCAAAAGCTGAGTAGGGTGCTTAGTAGGCAGTGCTGAAAATGGGCAACCAGGTATCAGAGTTGAAGCAGGGAGAAGAGGGCATCCACATTAGGAAGGAGTAGCAGAATGGAGGCCTGATCACATACAGGGTAATTTATCAAATAAGTAAATATATTAAGAATAAAGAAAGTCATATTTCTTACTGTAACAGAAAAGAAATATATAAATATGGAAGGGAAATAAATTAAAATTAACTTTATGGTTTTGGATTGGAAATGGAAGTAATGTGAATTCCTGGTTTTTGACATATATAGATTGACAGAGAAACAAAGATAATTATAAATGTGTGTTTATATATTTGTGTGTATATAAATACATACATAGATTCCCTAGCTCTGTCTACTAAGAAGGTCTGAGACCAATGACACCCCAATAGCAGTGAGTGTAACAATGCCCAGATCTGGGTGTCTACATTCCATTTTCCACTAAAAGGAACCAGGGCAATGTGGAGAAATGCTGTATTCCAGGGCAAGGTTACGTAAACTACAAGGTGATCCTGGAACATTTTGTTTTTACCTGAGAGCAGGAAAATGCTGAAAGAATGATAAAGTCATGTCCAAAAGACTAAAAAATCAGCCTGAATGGACTCCTACTGACCAAACTAATGATAATGTGAGGATCAAAATAAATAATGATAGTCACAGATTTTTATCCATTGAATAAAATAAGAAACTACAATTCTAAACTGATATAAATAAATGAATATATTAAATGTTTGGAGAGAAACAGAACATTTCTATTCAAAGTACCTGCCTATAAAATACTCTGATTAGAAAGGGGAAAAGAGTAACTTTCCAGTGGAGAAACTTGTCAGATACCACCTAAATCAAATGTTCAAAGTGAACATCACCAATAACAAGACAAACTGAAATCATCAGCTATCTGATAGAATTCAATTATAAGAATAAGGCCTTAGTTATGTAATATTCTTGCCAAAAATGCATAAACTATCTCTATTCATGAGGAAATATCCAAACAGAAACTGAGGGAGATTGGCACAACACTGTAAATCAACTATATTTCAATTTTAAAAAAAAACAAACAGAAATTGAGGGACATTCTACAAAATGACTAGACTGTGATCTTCAAGAGTTTCAAAGGCACTAAAATCATACAAAAACTGGGGAACTGTTCCAGACTGAAAGAGATCAAAGAGACATGACAACTAAATGCAACATAAGATTCTAAACTGGATCCTTTTGCTAGGACAATTGGTGAAACCTGAATGAGGCACGAGAATTAATTTACAATTATATATCAGTGTTAACTTCCTGATTTTATGGTTGTGTTATGGTTTTGTAGGACAATGTCCTTGATTATAGGAGAGATATTACAGTATTTGGGGTGACAGGGCATCAGATTGGCATATTACTTTTATATTATTTTATTTTTTTTAATATATGTATTTATTTGTTTATTTGGCTGCGTCAGGTCTTAGTTGTGGCATGTGGGATCTTCACTGGAGCATGTGGGATCTTTTAGTTGCAGCATGTGAAGTCTTAGTTGCTGCATGTGGGATCTAGTTCCCTGACGAGGGATCAAACCCGGGCCTCCTACACTGGGAGCACAGAGTCATAGCCACTGGATCACCAGGGAAGTCCCTGGCATATTACTTTTAAATCATCCAGGAAAATAGTTCTCTGTAATGTATTTCTAACATCTCTGTAAGTTTATGATTCTCCAAACTATAAAATTTCCAAATATCTAAGAATTCCTTATGGATAAATGCACACAAAACTCTAGGAATTTAGTTCCCTTTTATCACTGTGGCTAGGTAAGGCCTAATAAGATAAAGATTCAATAGTAGAAATAACACATTATGTATTAAATATGCCTTCAGTTCTGTGAGGGGAATTAATGTCTTAATTTATAAATTCAGTAAGTTTAAAATTAAGTGAAGTAGGGGCTTCCCTGGTGGCGCAGTGGTTGAGAGCCCGCCTGCCGATGCAGGGGACACAGGTTCGTGC